CACAGGGGGAAGTGTTTGTACATCTGAACATAAGATATCTAGGCTGGGGCCAGGCGCGGTGGCTCACGCCTGTAATCTCAGCACTTTGGGAGGCCAAGGCGGGCAGATCACCTGAGGTCAGGAGTTGGGGACCAATCTGACCAACATGGTGAAACCCTGTCTCTACTAAAAATACAAAATTAGCCGGGTGTGGTGGTGGGCACCTATAATCCCAGCTACTCGGGAGGCTGAGGCAGGAGAGTGGCTTGAACCAGGGAGTCGAAGGTTACAGTGAGCCAAGATCACGCCACTGCACTTCAGCCTGGCGATAGAGTGAGACTCCGTCTCAAAAAAACAAACAAAAACAACAACAACAACAAAGATAAGCAATGGGTCAGGTGTAGTGGCTCACACCTGTAATTCCAAAATTTTGGGAGGTCAAGGTGGGAGGATGGATTGCTTGAGGCCAGGAGGTGCATCCTGGGCAATATAACGAGATCCTGTCTCCTGTCTCTCTGTTTTTTGAGAGAGAGTCTCACTCTGTTGCCCTGGCTGGCGTGCAGTGGTGTGGTCTCTGCTCACTGTAACCTCTGCCTCTCAGGTAGCTGGGATTACAGGCATCCACCACCATGCCAGGCTAATTTTTTGTATTTTCAGTAGAGATGGGGTTTCACTATGTTGCCCAGGCTGGTCTTGAACTCCTGACCTCAGGTGATCCACCTGCCTTGGCCTTCCAAAGGGCTGGGATTACAGGCGTTCGCCACCATGCCAAGCTAAGTTTTTGTATTTTTAGTAGAGATGGGGTTTTGCTATGTTGAACAGGCTGGTCTCGAACTTCTGACCTCAGGTGATCCACCTGCCCTGGCCTCCCAAAGGTCTGGGATTACAGGCGTGAGTGCCTGGCCAAGATCCTGTCTCTTAAAAAGAAGAAGATTAAAAAATGGAGGCCGGGCGCAGTAGCTCACACCTGTAATCCCAGCACTTTAGGAGGCCGAGGCCAGTGGATCACTTGAGGTCAGGAGTTTGAAATCAGCCTTGCCAACATGGTGAAACCCCATCTCTACTAAAAATACAAAAATTGGCTGGTGTTGTGGCACACGCCTGTAGTCCCAGCTACTCAGGAGGCTGAGGCAGGAGAATCGCTCGAACCCAGGAGGTGGAGGTTGCAGTGAGCCAAGATCGCGCCACTGCACTCCAGCCTGAGTGATAGAGCGAGACTCCATCTCAATTAATTAATTAATTAATTAATTAAAGTAATTGCGCTGAACATGACAATGGCTAAAACTCAGGAACTGCCAATGTTGGCAACAGGAAATGCTCAGCTCTGTTAGAATCCTATGGGACCACAATAAACATGGCCCATCCTTAACGGAATCCTGGTTAGGCTGTGCAGTGATGAGGTTAAGTGGTAAGGGAGAGGGGAGAAGTTTAAAGGATAATGGACGTTTTTTTCTTTTATCACTTTCAAATTTTCCTGTAATGAGATGATGGATGGGTGAAAGGAAAAGAAATTAATCTTTAATGAGTTTTCTACCTGTAGGCACTCCGTGTTCATTAACTCACTTGATCCCATTAGGGAGATGCTATTATCCCATTTGTGGCTCAGAGAGGTTAGGCCACTCTCCCAGGGTCACACAGCAGGAGCAGGGCTAGGAGGGGCATGAGAGCTGGATCACAGCCAGAATTTATGACTCTCTAAATCAGGGAGGAACAAAGGGGAAAGTACCCAGAAGGTTCAATAAGACTCTCTCGCTGCATGCCATACCCCAGCCCCAGGGTTGGGCCAGGCGGGTGCCCTTCTCCAGCCATTAGACTACACAGCCCCACTCCTCACTGGACTAAGCTCAGTCCACTGGGTGCCTTCGCCCATGCCCTTTCCCCACTGCCTGCAGGTCCTTCCTCCTCCTCTTCTTCTCATTTTCAAACTCCACCCACTGCCCTGCCCCCATTCTCAAGGCTGAGCTCATTCAAGCTTCTTCCAGGAAGTCTTCCCTGATTGCCCACTCATGGTAGTGAGCCCCCTCCACCCCCAGATAACCACAGCCTCCTCACTGGTATCCCCACCTGACTCTTAACCCTACAACCCGTTCTCTGCACAGTGGCCCAAGGGTTGTTAACAAGGTCCCATCACTCTTCCACTGGTGTCCTCCAGCCGTTCCCACCATCCTTTTTTTGTTTTTTGAGTCAGGGTCTCACTCGGTCACCCAGGTTGGAGTGCAGTAGTGTGATCAAAACTTACCGCAGCCTTGACCTCCTGGGCTCGAGCGGATCTCCTACTTCAGGCTGCCATGTAACTGGGACCACACGTATGCGCCACCATACCTAATTTTTTTTCAGTAGAGACGAGGTCTTGCTGTGTTGCTCAGGTTGGACTCAAACTCTACTGCTCAAGCGATCCTCCTGCCTCAGCCTCCCAAAGTGCTGGGATTATAGGCTTGAGTCACCATGCCCGGCCCCCACTGCTCTTTTTCCTTTTTTTTTTTTGAGATGGAGTCTCACTCTGTCGCCCAGGCTGGAGTGCAGTGGCGCAATCTCAGTTCACTGCAACCTCCGCCTCCCAGGTTCAAACGACTCTGCCTCAGCCTCCCGAGTAGCTGGGATTACAGGTAATTTTTGTATTTTTAGTAGAGACAGGGTTTCATCATGTTGGCCAGGCTGGTCTCCTAACCTCAAGTGATCCTCCCGCCTCAGCCTCCCAAAGAGCTGGGATTACAGGCTTGAGTCACTGTGCCCAGCCTCCACCACTCGTAAAACAAACCCAAACCCTGTGTCCTTCAGGTCTGCCCCTGCTGCCCTCCCTAACCTCTTTTCACACTCTCCATCCAGACTTTTCTTCTTTCTCTCTCTCTCTCTCTTTTTTTTTAGGGTCTCACTCTGTCACTCAGGCTGTGGAGTGCAGTGGTGTGATCATGGCTCACTATAGCCTCCAACCCCTGGGCTCAAGCGATCCTCCTGCCTCAGCCTCCCGAGTACTTGGGACTACAGGCACACACTACCATGCCTGGCTAATTTAAACTTTTTTTTTTTTTTTCGGTAGAGATGGGGTCTCACTATGTTCCCCAGGCTGGTCTGGAACTCCTAGGCTCAAGTGATCCTCCGGCCTCAGCCTCCCAAAGTGCTGGGATTACAGGCATGAGCCACCGTGCTGGCTTATTTTATTTTATTTTTTTTATTTTTTTGACAGAGTCTTGTCCTGTTGCCCAAGCTGGAGTACAGTGGCATGATCTCGGCTCACTGTAGCCTCCGCCTCCCGATTCCAACCGATTCTCATGCCCCGACCTCCTATGTAGCTGGGATTACAGGCATGTGCCACCACATCCAGCTAATTTTTGTATTTTTAGTAGAGACGGGGTTTCACCATGTTGGCCAGGCTGGTCTCGAACTCCTGGCATAGGTGATCCACCAGTCTTGACCTCCCAAAGTGCTGGGATTACAGGAATGAGCCACCGTCCCCGGCCTTTTTCTTTCTTAACAAACCAAATTCATTCCAGCCTCAGGGCCTTTGCATCACCCATTCCCTCCACATGGAACACCTCTTCCCCACCCTACCTCATCCCCCGAATTTTCTCTTGTCTGGCTTCTCATTGCTGGAGAGGATTTGCCATCCTGGAGGCAGAGCCTGGGCCTTCACAAGGCTGCACTGGGCAGGCCCTTCCCATGGGCTTCTGCCCACGGGCCTCACGCTGCAGCTTCCTCGTCCTTTCATGCTGCCCATTTGGCTCCGCCAGGGACCTGGTCCTGCCAACTGCCCAAGACTTTGGCTCAAACTTTCCTTGACCCCCTTCCCCAGGACCCAGATTGTCCAGTCTGGCCCCGGCTGTGTTTGTCTCTCCGAACTTTGTGCCAATCAGATGAGATGGGCAGTGACCTATCCTGCTGGCTGGAGTGTCCTCCAAGCCAGGCTTTGTGCACAAAGATGCTCATCACAGCATCATTTATCAAAGTGATAAGTAAGAAACACTCGTCATTTTTTTTTTTTAAACGGAGTTTCGCTCTTGGAGCCCAGGCTGGAGTGCAGTGGTGTGATCTCGGCTCGCTGCAACTTCCTCCTCTTGGGTTCAAGCCATTTTCCTGCCTCAGCCTCCGGAGTAGCTGGGACTACAGGTGCCCGCCACCATGCTCGGCTAATTTTTGTATTTTTAGTAGAGATGGGGTTTCACCATGTTGGCCAGGCTGGTCTTGAACTCCTGACCTGAAGTGATCCTCCCACCTCAGCCTCCCTAAGTGCTGAGATTACAGGCATGAGCCTCCATGCCCAGTTCAATCACAATTTTTGAAACTGCAGAGAATGGGTAAGAAATTGCTGCTAGTTCCTTCCGTCATGCTCATCTTGGTTTAAACCCTCCCATAGCTCTCATTATTAGGATGAAAATGAAACTTCCTGCACACTTCCAAGTCACCCAGGTCCACCTGTGTCGCAGCAGACTGCCCCAGCCACACCCACACTCTCTCCCTCTTGTGTTCTCACGATGCTCCTTTCTGCCTCTGAGCCTTTGCATGTGCTGTTCCCTCTACTTGGAATACCCTTCCCTCTTTTTTCTATTTTTGAGGCGGAATCTTGCTCTGTTGCCCAGGCTGGAGTACAATGGCGTAATCTCAGCTCACTGCAACCTCTGTCTCCCGGAGTCAAGTGATTTCCTGTCTCAGCCTCCTGCCTGGGATTACAGGCACCTGCCACCATGCCTGGCTAATTTTTGTATTTTTAGTAGAGATGGGGTTTCACCAAGTTGGCCAGGCTGGTCTCAAACTCCTGACCCCCAGTGATCCGCCCACCTTGGCCTCCCAAAGTGCTGGGATTACATTCATGAGCCACCGTACCCAGCCCTTTTCCTCTTCAGCTAGTGAATCAGCTATTCACCCTCCAGACCTCTGCCAACCTCAGACCCCATTACGGGAGATCACGACACTCAGCACCTCCCATCAGATTGGTCACAGAGTGGCCTGTGCTCCTGGGGTTCTTCCAGAAGAACGCTCATCCCACGTAGCCAGTCCCCTCATCCCCGATCCTTGGCACCACATACCTTCCTTGGAGCCAGTGGCCGCCGCCGCCGAGGATGAAGCTGACCCAGTAGACGTCCGGCCCATGGGGCTGGAGTGCTTCCCCCCACGGCCGGGGGGCTTCAGGCCGCTGGGCTTCTGCATGGCGGTGCCACTGGGCAGGTGGTCAAGGGTGAGTGCTGGTCACATCCTCTCTGCCATCTTCACTCACCTGCGGGCAGAGACAGGAGAGATCACATCATCACTTCCCGATGGCCCCCAGACCCTCAAGGGCTAGTGAGCACCACACATCCCGCCCGAGGTGGGCTGGACGAGGCAACACCCGATTTAACCTATCAGCTCACTGCAACACCCGATTTAACCTATCAGCTCACTGCAACACCCGATTTAACCTATCAGCTCACTGCATCTGACGAACTATCAGCTCACTGCAACACCCGATTTAACCTATCAGCTCACTGCAACACCCGATTTAACCTATCAGCTCACTGCTCCCGTTGCCGCACAGGCCATATTCCAGCTCTCGGACTCACCATCCCAGCACGCGTCCCCTCTACTGCAGGGGCAGGATAAACACACAGAGAGGCTTATGCCTTCCCCTCTTATGTCCTGGTGTGGGGTTACCTGCCTCAACTCTACACCAGGCCGCCATCTAGCCACAACCTCTGCCTGCCTTCCCACCAAGAAGGCTTTGTGTCTTTATTTTTAGTTGCAGAAATTTACTACAAGTGAAAGATATTTCATCCTCTATCCCACGAGCATGCATCAAGCTGTTTGCCACAAAGACCACTTTTAGACCGGGGACAGTGGCCTGTCAATCCAGCACTCTGGGAGGCTGAGGCTGGTGGATCGCTCGAGCCCAGGAGTTCGAGGCTGCGGTGAGCTCCAGTGTACTCCAGCCTGGGGGACAGAGTGAAACCTTTTCAAAGTGTGAGCTGCACGCTGACTATGGTCATTAAAAGCCCTAAAAGGGGCCAAGCGCAGTGGCTCACGCCTGTAATCCCAGCACTTTAGGAGGCTGAGGTGAGTGGATCACTTGAGGTCAGGAGTTCAAGACCAGTCAGGCCAACATGGTGAAACCCCGTGTGTACTAAAAATACAAAAATTAGCCAGGCTGGGTAGCATACGCCTATAGTCCCAGGTACTCGGGAGGCTGAAGCATAAGAATCACTTGAACCCGGGAGGCAGTGGCTGCAGTGAGCCAGGGTTACGCCACTGCACTCCAGCCTGGACAATAGAACGAGACTCTTGTCTCAAAGGAAAAAAAAAAAAAGGCCCTAAAAGGGCTGAGAGCAGTGCCTCACACCTGTAATCCTAACACTTTGGGAGGCCAAGGTAGGAGGATTGCTTGAGGCCAGGAGTTTGAAACCAGCCTTGGTAGTATAGCAAGACTTTACCTCTGGAGAAAAATAAAAAATAAAAAAATTAGCCAGGCGTGGTGGCACATGCCTGTAGTCCCAGCTACTTGTGAGGCAGAGACAGGAAGATCACTTGAGCCTGGGAGGCAGAGGCTACAATGAGCCATGATGGCACTACTGCACTCCAGCCTGGGTGACAGAGCGAGACTCTGTCTCAAAAAAAAAAAAAAAAGCAGTCATAAAATAGAACAAAATGATGTCCTTTGCAGGGACATGGATGGAGTTGGAAGCCATCATCCTCAGCAAACTAACGCAAGAACAGAAAACCAAACACCGCATGTTCTCACTTATAAGTGGGAGTTGGACAATGAGAACACATGGACACAGAGAAGGGAGCAATACATACTGGGGTCTATTGAAGGGTAGGGTGAGGGGAGGGAGGGCATCAGGAAAAATAGCTAATGCATGCTGGGCTTAATACCTAGGTGATGGGTTAATAGGTGCAGCAAACGACCATGGCACACATTTACCTATGTACACATCCGGCACATGTACCCCGGAACCTAATTTTTTTTTTTTTTTTGAAATGAAGTCTCACTCTTGTTCCCCAGGCTGGAGTGTGATGGCACGATCTCAGCTCACTGCAACCTCTGCCTCCTGGGTTCAAACAATTATCCTGCCTCAGCCTCCTGAGTAGCTGGGAATACAGGCGCCTGTCACCACACCCGGCTAATTTTTGTATCTTTAGTAGAGACGGGGTTTTGCCATGTTGGCCAGGCTGGTCTAGAACTCCTGACCCCAGGTGATCCACCTGCCTTGGCCTCCCAAAGTGCTGGGATTACAGGAGTGAGCCACCGTGCCCGGCCAGAAATTAAGAAAAAGAAAAGAAAAAAAAAGCCCAGGTGCAGTGGCTCATGCCTGTAATCCCAGTACTTTGAGAGGCCAAGGTGGGTGGATCACCTGAGGTCACAAGTTCGAGACCAGCCTGGCCAATGTGGCGGAAACCCCATCTCTACTAAAAATATAAAAATTAGCTGGGCATGTTGGAAGGCACCTGTAATCTCAGCTACTCGGGAGGCTGAGGCAGGAGAATCACTTTAACCCAGGAGGCGGTGGTTGCAGTGAGCCAAGATTACACTACTGTACTCCAGCCTGGGTGACAGAGTAAGGCTCCATCTCAAAAAACAGAAAAAAGAAAAAAAAAAAAAGGGCCAGGTGTGGTAGCTCATGTCTGTAATCCCAGCACTTTGGGAGGCCACGGCAAGAGGATCACTTGAGCCCAAGAGTCCAAGACCCGCCTGGGCAACATCGTGAGACATAAATAATAGAAACAAAATATTTTTTAAAGACCTAAAAGCAATGATTACATACTAATCATGGCCAAAAAAAAAAAAGTGTGTGATGCTTGCTAGTACAGTAACCTCAGGATCAAAAGCTTTGTCTTTTTTTTTTTTTTTTAAATTTATTTTTGAGATAAGACTCTCACTCTCTGGCCCAGGCTGGAGTGCAGTGACACCATCTCGGCTTACTGGGCTCACTGCAACCTCCACCTCCCAGGTTCAAGAGATTCTCCTGCTGCAGCCTCCCAAGTAGCTGGGATTACAGGCACCCGTCATCACGCCTGGTTAATTTTTGTATTTTTAGTAGAGACGGGGTTTTGCCATGTTGGCCAGGCTGGTCTCAAACCCCTGACCTCAAGTGATCCTCCTGCCTCAGCCTCCCAAAGTGCTGGGATTACAGGTGTGAGCCACCATGCCTGGCCAGCTTTGTGTCATTATGATGAAGTAGAGAAGAGCTTACAGGACAAAAGGGACTCTGGAGAGGAGCAAAGCCTCCAGGCATGACGCTATCTGTTTAGGGGATCGGGGGCAGCAAGATGGGACTGGCTGCAGGGGGCCCGAGAGGTGGACAAGCCCCCCAGCCCCAGGCCTCTTCCCCACTATCCTATACTCACAAACTTTAATGCACCCAATGTTTCCAGAAGGCTCACCATGAGCCAGGCCCCATCCCTGCCCCAGAGCTGTAGGTAGGACTTAGCCTCTGCCCTGGGGAGCATCATCCAATGGGGAGAGGAAATTCAGAGCACCATAGTCAGATGGAGGATTCCGGGCAAAAGCGTCCTCACGTCTGGACCTCGGAAACACAGGAAATCTCTGATACAGGAGATGCCCTTGTCTGTCCAGTTATATCTGCAGTCGCAGATTTTGAAGAAACCTTTTCTCCATTAATTTTGTTGTTATTATTATTTTTAGAGACAGGGTTTTACTCTGTTGCCCAGGCTGGAGTGCAGTATCACGATCTCAGCTCACTGCAACCTATGCCTCCTGGGTTCAAGCAATTCTCCGGCCTCAGTCCCCCAAGTAGCTGGGACTACAGGTATCCGCCACCATGCCTGGCTAATTTTTATATTTTTTGTAGAGATGAGGTTTTACCATGTTGGCCAGGCTGGTCTCGAACTCCTGACCTCTAGTGATCCTCCCACCTCTGCCTCCCACAATGCAGGGATTACAGGCGTGAGCCAGTCTCTTTTCCCCATTTTTTTTTTTTTTTTTTTGGAGACAGAGTCACTTTGACACCCAGGCTGGAGTGCAGTTGCACGATCTTGGCTCACTGCGACCTCCATCTCCTGGGTCCAAGCAATTCTTTTGCCTCAGGCCCCGAGTAGGTCAGACTACAGGCGCCCGCCACCAGACCCAGCTAATTTTTGTATTTTAGTAGAGAGGGGGGTTTCTGCCATCTTGGCCAGACTGGTCTCGAACTGCTGACCTCAGGCAATCCTCCCCTTGGCTTCCCAAAGTGCTGAGATCACAGGCATGAGCCACCACTCCTGGTCTATATTTTCCCCATCCTTGACTCATATGACTTATGTGGGTTGACCTCATTCCCACTCCTAGAGGGGATGCATAACACAGGCCTGGCCATCAGGGAAGATCGTGTGAGGCGTCCCAGAGCCTGGGCTGTGACTGAAACCTTCAGGAAGAATTCTCCCTGCTCTGGGGCTGCCTGGGTGTAGGATACAAGCCAGAAGCTGCAGGAGCCATTCTGGTCACCGCATGGGAGAGCCTGCCAGGGAACAGTGCCAACACAGAGACAGCAGAGCTGAGTCCCCAGGAGGGCCTGGATCCAGCTGAGCCTGAAGCTGGTCACTTGAGCTCTTTTTTTTTTTTTTTTTTTTAGATGGAGTATTGCTCTGTCGCCCAGGCTGGAGTGCAGTGGCGCGATTTTGGCTCACTGCAAGCTCTGCCTCCCAGGTTCATGCCATTCTCCTGCCTCAGCCTCCCGAGTAGCTGAGATTACAGGCACCCGCCACCACGCCCGGCTAATTTTTTGTATTTTTAGTAGAGACGGGGTTTCACTGTGTTAGCCAGGATGGTCTTGATCTCCTGACCTCATGATCTGTGCCCTCCTCAGCCTCCCAAAGTGCTGGGATTACAGGCTTGAGCCACCGTGCCTAGCTGAGCTCTTCGTTTACATCAACCAACAAATCTCACAATTGTTTTTTCTCTCTCTCTCTTTTTTTTTTTTTAGACAGGGTCTTACTCTGTTGCCCAGGCTGGAGTGCAGTGGTACGATTTCAGCTCACTACAGCCTCAACCTCCCAAGCACCCGAGTAGCTGGGACCACAGGTGCATGCTACCAACCCCCCACCTATGTTTACAAGCTTTTTGTAGAGACAGGGTCTCGCTATGTTGCCCAGGCTGGTCTGAAACTCCAGGGGTCAAGCAATCCTCCCGCCTCGGCCTCCCAAAGTGCTGGGATTACAGGCGTGTGCCACTGCACCTGGCCTTTTTTTTTTTTCCTAAACCTATTTGAGGGACAATGTCATTTGCATTTCCAAAAAAGTTCTGGTGAA